ATTAAACTAAAATAAAAAATCTATAAAGTGATGTTCTTTTCTGGCAACCTCTCCTCCTCCCCTTGTTCTTTTTTTGTCTTGTTTAACTCTACTCCCTCCCCCCTATTTGTATGACAACCTTTATGGATGGCCCCTAAACTTCTAGCGAAATTTTAGATCGCTAGAAACCCAGTTAAATTTTGGTTAAAATACCAGTGAACTTTCAGCGAAGTTCATTGCTTCCAGTAAACTTTGCAGAGAGCTCAGCAAACTCCGTGAATTTCCAGTTATCTTTTAGATTTCCAGCAAACTTTCCAGGGACAGTTCAGTTGTATTTTTGTAAGGAAAGTTCACTAGTTTCTAGTATATTTCAGTGGTATTTTTGTAAGGAAACTGGTTTCTAGTATGGGTATGAGCTAAAATAACAAGACAAATTAATAAATATCAGATAAAATTAAAAGAGTATAAATCAGAAATAAATAAATGTATAAGTAGGTACTTCACTCAATTTCACTATTATTACTATCTCTTGTTATAATTAATACCAACGTATGCAAATAATAAAGACGTTTTCAAAATGAGTTTGTTTTTAAAATTTAGATAACTGATTCCCAAGTTATGACAGTTTATATTGGGCTCAATAACGCCTATTTTGCGACAAGATTTGTTGAGTTTTCCTTAAGATTTATGGCACCAAAAATTTTATAAAAAAAATTATTTTTAAATGCTATCAATTAGAACGAGTTTCATTGAAGTTCTTATGCTAAATTATTTTTATTGTTTTCTTTTTTACTAAAGAGTCAAAGCATTAATTTCTAAAAATTATTATTCTGATATTAGGGGCCCGTAGGTAAGGATTCCACTGCTCGTTTGCCCCATTTGGGGCATTTGGAAACCAAAAAATTAACTTTAAATTAAAAATGTACAAATTCATTTATATATATATATATATATATATATATATATATATATATATATATATATATATATATATATATATATATATATATATATATATATATATATATATATATGTATATATATATATATATATATATAAGGAAAATATGTAGAAATTGTAAAAGTGAACAAATTCATTTATATTTATAAATATGAAAAGAATTTATAAAAAGTTCAGGTCTAATTCCCCGAATCGAGGCGATTTGGCCAAGTTTTAAATTTCTGTAAAAACCAAAAAAATAAACTTTAGGTAAAAAACAAGATCTTTTTTATATTGTTTGAGTAAACAAGTTCAAAAACATTTTAAAAAATCTAAATTTTCCGTAACGAAATGTCTTTGTAAACCATAGAAGTACAATGCCTTGCTTTGTCCAACCAGTCTGAAACACTCCTTGTACTTTCTTCTGGAGCATTTTCAAATTAAAAACTCGAGAAAGAATTAGTAGTTTTTCTTTTAAATATGAAATGTGCAAGAAAAGAGTTACCCATTGCATTGACAAAAGTTATTTCTCTGATTGTTTCGCCTAATTGGCGATATTGTAGATACTCAACTATTTTTCCAGGATGATAATCAAACTGCATCCCAGTCTCATCCATATTCCAAATATTTTCCGTTTTGTGATGTAGGTTGTTTTCCGTTAACACATTTTTAAGAATGGAAAAATATTTTGACAGTTTACAAACATTCATACACTGATGTCTAATAGCTGTTGTACCTTCTGGTTGACATCACGTTAAATCTTTGTGGTTTTTGCAGATTCCACGTCACCATTTTTCTGTAGGAGTTTCATTCTTGAATGCTTTTTATGTTTTAGAGCAAAAATTTCAGCATATTTTAAAAATTGTAATTGACCGAATCCAATTCCTAAAGCTGCACGATTATATGCAAAATCAATTAATTTCTTTTCATCTAAAAATAGTTTGATGTCCAGGTTTGCATCCCATTTCAATGGTTACTCAAGAAAGTCAAACTTGTAATAAACATCTTAAAATATCCAAAACTTTACATGCTGCTTGCTGTGAATCTCCATTTTTAACAACTTTAATTGCTGATATCATCTATTCATCATTCCATAAACAGTGTTTTCTGTGTTTGCTTATCTGTTTTTCAATTTTAGTTAAACTTTTTTTTTTTTAGTTTTTTTTTTTTTTTTTTTTCATTCTAAAGTAAATTTAATTATAAAATTGTTATGACTGTCTAAAAATAAATGTCTATATTTCTATGATTATATCATATACATGTATCAAGTAATTTAAGTTGGTTATTCTCTTTTTCTGTGTGCGTGTGTGTGTGTATATATATATATATATATATATATATATATATATATATATATATATATATATATATATATATATATATATATATATATATATACATTTTGTATAACGTTCAATTAAACGTTACTAAAAAAATAAGCAAAAAAGCATACACAGTTTTAACAGTAATATATCGAAGTATTATTAGCAATTTAAAAGATTTACAAAAGCAAAATGTTTGAATTTAATCAGGAAAACTTTGAAAATACCAAACATCGACTTTACAGAATATAATATTTATCAAATTTTTAAAAAATGTTCTCAAAACGGTTAACGAGTCAATAAGTACTTTAAACTGCATATTTATAAATTATAAAGTCTAAATATTGTATTTTTAATTTAAAGCAATCGATACAACCCTGCATTAAAGATTTTTTTGAAAATCGCCCAGAATAAGGACGCAGACATAAGTCAGTTTATCCTAAATAACTAGCTATGTAGGTTAAACGGAGTACCACAATGGCGTCAAGAAAATCCAGATGTAAAAAACAAATTAGTATGAAAACAAGTATTAAATATTATAATTTAATAAGCTTTTTTGATATGTTAGAACCCAAAAAAAGCAATTTATAACAGTATATGTACTTGTCAAAAAGTGTAAATAAAATAAACTATAGAGAAAACAACTTGAAAAATCTTCTAGCTTCTTTTTTAAGAAACTTTGAAGAAAAATCTCCACAGATCAACATTTTTTTTAAATTTTTGTCAGTGATATATAACTGCCAATTGGGTTTGAAATTAGGTACTATGAAAATAATTCCCGAAAAAGTTGCCAAAAAATACGCTAAAGTTTTTATTCTAAACTTGTCACACGGAAAAAGTCACGTGACTGAAGTGCCTAGTATAACAATATATTATAATGATTACAATATAATAATCATCAAAAATATATAATGCAAATTCTTTCAAAGATTTTATAATCTAATGATAAATATATATATATATATATATATATATATATATATATATATATATATATATATATATATATATATATATATATATATATATATATATTATAAATAAAATAAGAGATATTAAAATGTGTAACCGAATTCTACGTATCTAACTAGAGCTAAAATGAATATAATTAACGATAAATAATTAAAAATATGATGTGAAAAAGCGAATAATAAAGTTAGTAAGTTAGATAATAATTGTAATATCATGTGAAAAATCATGTGAAAAAATAAGTTAATAATTGTAATATCATGTGAAAAAGTAAGTTAAGTAATAAAAAGTAAGTTAATCATTTATTGCAACAAATACAAATTAAAATGTAAAAAAAAAAAAAAAAATCTAATTTTTTTAGAATGAGTTGTTATTTTTCTTTCTTTAGAAATGATTTTTAGTTTTTCTTTCTTGCTTGTTTACTTTTTTCATCTTTTTTTTTTTTTTTTTCTAATACTTTAACAGCAGATTGTAGTAAAGTATACATTTTTGATTATAGAAGAAACGTACCATGAGGGTAAAGTGGAGCAGGTATGGGATGAAAGAGAACAAGCGAGTAAATTAAAAAATAATAACAATAAATTTTAAGTTTCCTTAATAAAATTACATAAGTGATGGGGGAGAAGTGAAAGACCAATTAGTTTACTTTGCTTCACCCCTCAAAAAATCATTTTTTTTTTTTGCGGGTTTTTAAAAAAAATGTTGTTTTTGCCACTCGCAAAGAGACAAAACAATGTCTGTTAAATAGAGGGTAAGAAATTTCATTGTTTATATTAGATAACAATGGTTAGCAATCTCTTCTAATTGGAATTTTTTGGATGTCTCGCTTTTCCCGCGTCCCACTTCTCCCAAATTGCCCATACTTATGCACTTTTAAATTTTTTTATTTTATTTTCATCAATATTTATTTTATGTGAAATATGAATTAAAATTTTACTTTATACATGTATAAAAAGAATACGAAAAAAAACACTGGGCTCTTTATTTCGATCAAGTCTTTATTTCGACGTTATTGTCAAGCCTCTATTTCGACGTTAAGCGTCCTTCGCGTTCGTTAATTTGGATTTATTGGGGTTAAGTTATTAGGCATAGGTGCAGTGAGACGTACATACAACGAATGACTTAAATAGGGATAGGCGCAGTGAGTGTACATACGTTGACCGAAGGTTTTGGTTTGTGAAGTTAGTCTTGCAAATGAAAGGAAAACTTTTTTATGTTTGCGGATCAGTGAGGGACAGCTTTTGGACTTTTAAAACTTTGGAATAGGAGTTTGACAAGAGATAGAATCTTTTTCAAACTTCTAAAAAAAACAACATGGTCACATTTAAAGGTTATGAGTAAATAAAAGCCTTCAAGTAAAGCCAAGAAAACTAAAAGGTAGGGAAAAATTTGATTAATTCATTTAAAGTTTAATCTAAATAATTTTTTTGCAATTTTTATTTTAAACTTTTTCCTTTTTTTTTTTTTTTTTGCTTTATATAAAAACTTTTAAATAATCATTATATACTTTATCAAAATTTTTTAAATCTGATTATTTTCTCGTGTGCCTTCATGTGTAAATCTGAGTATATTTAACGTGAATGCATTCAAACGGTGACGCTGCCACTGCTCAGAACTAATAATTAATCGAATTTATTCTGATGAAGAAAATTCATTATTTTATATTATTAGAAAATTCATTACTAAATAACTGATTTTAAAAAGATTTCTCTGACTACCAACTCAAACAACGCTAGCATAAAGTATGTTAAATCACATCACATGTTAAAAACGTAAATAAAAAAAGTATATTTTAAAATTATTTTTATTTTGAACTATAACAGCGACTAAGACTCTCTATTTAAAGTAAAATATATAAATGCATAATTTTTTAGTTAAATATGCTCTAGTAAAAACTAAGTCTTCAAAACATTATATATTTTTAAATACTCAAGTTCCTTTTATTTTACCAAGCTGCGTCAAGTGACAACTAGGTACGGGTTGTCACAGGTTATGTGTGCGCTACTTTGAACATTTGTTTCTAATATGATGTCGTAATCTTCCTCTTTTATTTCTTCGTAACTACGTGATAAATTTTTTTTAATTGTTAATACAGGAATAATATTCCAAAAATCAACAACAAAAGTCAGTATAAAAATCATATTTACTGCAAGAAAACACCATTCTGCAGCTTCTGCAACACGGTGTTTTTCGTTCAAAACTTTCATAGAAGGTAACAAAAATAATGCAAAAAGAAACCCAAATAAAAACATTGAAATTGAAATACACAATCGAGTTAAAAACAAATATCTTTTGGCGTTGTGATACGATATCTTTGTCTGTAGAATACAGTAAAAAAATGTACCGAGAAAGTAAAGCGTTGCTCCAAAATAATGAATAACTGTGTGACTTGAAAGTTGAAAAGATATGACTAAAAAATTTCCAAACACGAGTAACGCTCCAGCAACAAAAGAGGATATATTTTCAAACTGCCTTGTGATAAAAAAATGTTTCACTTGTAGAAAGCGTATGAGGATAACTGCAAAAGTTAATATTGCACTTAGTGAAAGTCCAAATGTTAAAATGCTGCTTTGTGGTTTGTTGTTTCCAATTTCACTGATAAATGGAAGATATCCTGCTGCAATTATTTCAAACTTGATAGCAACTGTAAAAGATATAATTGTTGTTAAAATTGCTAGTAGAACTGTTGCTATAGGTAAGCAAGTAACTATATAATGGTAACATTTTCTTTTTGCGTTTTGAGATAAAGACATTTGTGTTAAACGACGTTTTGACAACTTATTTAAAACTTACTTTCATCTTTTAGATATTCAAAAAGTATAAGCCATTCACAATGTTTCCGATTGCTTTGACAGTTAAAATGTTTTTTAGGCGATGACAGATTTAAGTTGATTTTGACTAAAATAAAAAAATTAAAGCAAAGTCTCAGGAAATCGTTACAATGGAATGTTAAAATGGAATTTAAAACAAGTTTATTTCAATTACAAAATGATATTAATTCACAAAACGTCAAGTAAAATTAGGTTTAGAAAATCAAAATCAAGTTACAGGAAACTATAAAAGCGGAAGCTTTATTTGTAATACTTTTATAATGTTTTTACAGAATGAATATGACTAAAGTTCTATAGAACATTGTAATAAAAATTTCATACCGCATATATACTATACGCGAATCTTTACAATCTCACAATCTCTTATAACATTATTCCATATAAATAGTACTAAAATTTTTTGTAATTAAGATCCGTATTTTATATATATATATATATATATATATATATATATATATATATATATATATATATATATATATATATATATATATATATATATATATATACATATATATATATATATATACATATACATATATATATATATATATATATATATATATATATATATATATATATATATATATATATATATATATATATATATATATATATATATATACATATATTTGTATATACATATATATATACATAAAAAATCATTAGTATAAAATATACTAATGACTTACATATACATATATATATATATATATATATATATATATATATATATATATATATATATATATATATATATATATATATATATAACAACTAACTTTAATATAACTATAACACACACAGCCATTCATAAATAAAAGCGAGAAAACAGTTAAAACTCTAAAGTTGACGTTAATGAGGTCATTTATTTTTACAAAAATAACTCTGTTATTGGGAACGGCCGCAAACACATGACTTTACATTTCTATTGATTTTATTTTTACTTTGGTTACTTGCGTTATGTTTCAAAGTTTTTACCCAAAGGATAATTAATTTTTTTGTTGGCAGTCGTAAAAAAAAGTAATAATAAAAGACACGAGTTAAATAACATTTTGTGTTTTATTAGCCCTTCTCTGGCCTTATAAAAGCGGTGCACCAGAGCCGGGTAAAACTTTTAACCCATGAATGTTAAGTTTTTTTAAAATTAAGATGTAAGATTTATGATTCTTTGTTTACGTAACCGGATAATACAAAAACTGCTTCTTACAACCTATTATTTTTATATGTAATATTTTTGAGTGATTTATTAGTCTTTGTGACGTAATTTTTTTGTTTTTATTACTGAATAAATGCGTTATAGTGTTGAAAAATAACTATTATTTACTAATAACACCATAACAACATACACCTCAAAAAGTAGACTATAAGTTGCTAGCTATATACAACACAACTATAAAAATGATCACTGATTATTTCGTTAACTCCGCTAAAACAATGGTAAAGCTTATTAAATCTAAAAAATTAGTCAAACTTTTTATTAGTAAAATGTCAAACTTTTAGTAAAAAAAAACTATTAGTCATACTTTTTAAAAACAATTTTATAAACAAAAACTATTAGTCAAACTTTTTTTTTAGTAAAATGGATAATTAATTAGGCCCTTTAACTTGTTTTTTTTTTTTGTTGTTGTTGTTCATCTATTTAATATCTTAGATTTTATATATTTAATACACAAATGATAATATTAATACGCTAATTTAATATTATTTACTAACAACGCGTATTACGGGTTGCTTACTGCTAGTAATACATAAATAATGTTACAAACGACGATTTACAAATTTGATACTTGGTTTTGAAGCTATTTTGTATCTGTTGGTATAAATAAATTCTGAAAGCCTTCAATCTGAAAGTGTTTATTTGTTTTACCACGGAAGTATTAGAGAGTACTTCTGTAGAGGATACGTCTCAAGTACTTCCATGTTTTTACATTTTGATAGCAAATTGACTATAGTATTAAAAACCAAACTAGATTATTAAAATATATTTATGATTATGATATTATTATAATAAATATTATTATAATATATCATTATAAAATAAGAGCTGCAAAACAATTTTTCTGAGTATGCGCGAGCTACTTGGTAACTTTTAAACACAGTCATTAAGTCTTTTTTTTTTTAATTTTATTTTAGGTGCCCCAAGAAGTGCCTAAAGAAGCCTTTACGGTTTTATAACAGAGCCCCTCGGAAAAGCATTTGAAAAAAAGTTCACGCCTCTTTCCTTACCGATGTTTTAAAACTTGCCCAGATGTGGTTGTTGACCACCAGAGGTGGTTGTTGAACCACGGATCTCTAGACTTTGAGGCAAGTGCGCTAACCACTACGCTACGCACAGTGGGCCAGGTGGTGAACAAAACCTAAAAAATAAATATTTATTATATTCAATCCCATATAATAAAACATATTTGTAATATTCTCATTTAAATTTTTGAATATTGTTTTGAGTATAATAGTATCTTTTAAAACCACAAAAATTAGTTGCGATTTCATGTATAATGAAAAAAAAACTTTTTTAAAAAAGCGTGAAATTTTTATTTTTTATGCATAGTTATAGTAAATAGTAACTTTTAAAATTTTATGAGCTCACGGGGTTAGTTTATATTTTTAATTTTTAATAAACAAAAAGTGTCACATAATTTAGGGAACCTACGAGAACCTATATAAAATACTTGAACTAGTAAATGTTGAATGTATATAACCTATTTGAAATATATACATTGCCCCTAACTTCCCCTTTCGGGTTTCTTTAACATTTTAAAACAATGGCTTGTAACTTATGTTATTTGCTTGAAATCAATTTTTATTTCTCATAAACAAAAGCACATGTTATCTTGTTTGTTATTTTGTTCATTACGAATTGCACTGTTAACCTAACAATTTTTTTGTTTTTTTGTTTAGTAATAATATAAAAATTGGTGACACTTACGGACTTATGCGATAAAATAAACTAGTTCCTAATGATATACCATTTTTTTCATTGAAATTAAATGTTTTAGTTTCTGCAGCTATAAAACTAGAGGATTCTGAGTGAAAAAGTTTATAAATTATTATGTAAAAAGTTGATAGCTGCTAACAATGATAATATTCATTTTGAGAGAAGTAATGAAAATTGGCTAGCTCAAGATTTTCAATTCAACTACGGCACATTATATGCTACATCATCAGTTAATGAAGCTAGGTAACCATGTTGCTCTTTTGAAAAAGCCTGTAACACAACAAAAAGATTGAGCTTAACAATGTTGTTAATATTTTATTTAGCTAAAAATTGCTTCATGCAACAAAATTGAAACTAAGAAGTGAGTTTAAGTACAAAACTGGCTCGAAAATTTCAAAATTTGAAATAAAAAACCCATTAAATCTGTTTAGATATATTCACCTGATGAAGCTTTCGCATTAACTATTAATGGTGATATATCAAAATTAACATAGTAGCTTCTAAGAAAATGGCACTGAAAAAAAAAAGTTGCCGTATATCCTTTATATAATGGTATAAGATCTTCAAAAGCTATATGCCAAAGATCTTCAAAAGCTAATATCCCAAGAATGTTCAAATAGATGGCTATTCAGTACAAATACCGCTTAAAGATCTTCTTAATCACAATCTTAAAAAGCTATGTGGTATACAAACTACTGTGCTAATCACAATGTTAAGGAATAAACTAAATTGACATTTAGACGCAAGGCTAGTTTTGATGGTGCTACAGGGTATACTGTTTAAAAACAGGTAAGTTAAAATGAATATAGTGACGAATGAGGAGTGCCTGTTGATTATTTGCATAGTACTTTTAGAACTCCGTAGACTTTATAATAATAAAAACAAAAATATTATTCATCCAGAATGGATAAAAAAAAAAACATTATTATATATAGAGATGATAAATAATCTACAGACTTATTCAAAACGTCGCGGACATACAATAAAATCAATAATAGAGTGTTTAATCTATATATTTATT